CGAGGCGGGCCCGGCGCAGGAAGGGCGGGGAGCGTCCGGGCGCCGTCGTCGCGTGACGCGTTTTCAAATCTTTAACCGCCGCGGCTCACACGTCGGAGCTTCAGCCCCTTCCTGCTAGGAGGCTCGGCGCCGGAACCGGCCCCTCACGGCGGCGCCGCGGCCTGGGCCCGGAGATCCTGGAGCTTTGTGTTCGCCGCCGTCACGGGCGGCTCCCGGTGCGGACCCAGCATGTAGGTGCCTGGTGGCTGCCATGAACCTGGAGACCATGAGGATCCACAGCAAAGCGCCTCTCCCGGGTACGGAGCCCCTCCCCCGCCGCGGTCCCTTTAATCCTTTCCTGCGCTGCCGGCTCCACGGTGGGTTCCCGGGAGTCGCCCCTGCGGGGGCCTCGGCCGCAGCGACACTTGTGGCTTCTCGGTGGCGCCCTGAAGGCGTTCGGTCTCCGTGGGGGGACAGCGCGGGCCGGGCCCCTCGTGCCCTCCCGGCCGCAGATGCGACCCCGCATTCCCGGGGCTGCAAGCTTGAGACAATGCGCGGGTCCCCGACGGCCGAGGCACCCGCTCCTGTTCCTTCTCTTCACTCAAAATTAAAGCTGTGTGTGTGTGTGTGTAAAATGTGTAAGAAAGAGAGAGAGAGAGAGAGAGAAACACGCCTTGTTTCAATTGCATTGTATCGATTAAGATAAAAATTCATGATAAAAAATTTTCCTGAGAGAGATGCATACATGAGTGTCTGTTAACCAGGTAATAAGATGGCAGATTGCGTTTGAAAAGTTTATAGAAGTTGCTTCATTCTCATCTCCTTTTAAAATAAGGAGATGAATGGCGATGTCCTTTGTGGGCCTAAGTTCTTAATATGTAAGCAAAGTGCATGAATTAGATCATTTAGTTCTTTGTAATACTAGACAAAACCATGAAACCATCATTTGAGCACTCAGTAACCCTTGAGAATTGGGTTCTTTATTGTAGATACTTTTTTTTTCTTCTTGCCTAGGCAAATAAGCTTTTAAATTTTGAAACACCTGTGTTGAGTTTTCACAGCACTCCTGACATGAATAAATAACTCGCGTGTGCATGAAGATGCATCCTGAGAAAGTAAGCCTTCCAGAAAGACTTTGTCGAGTTCCCTGCCTTCATAGGGAAGCAGGAATAAATAATGACCACATCCTGTTGGTTCAGCTCTTGGTCTCCAGTATAGAATTTGTGGAAAGCATGCAAAGGCAGCTTGCTTCCCTCCTATGTATTTAGGAACACGTTTAGGTTCTAGCTACTTAAGTTGATACAATGAATAATTTTTCCTTTCTGTTCAATTTTGGTCTGCATAAAGCATTACCTGATTCTTTTCTTAATCACAGGTGGCATCCAAGACAAAAATGAAAAGAACAGACCGTCCTTGAAATCCCTGAAAACTGATAATAGACTGGAAAAATCCAAATATAAGCCTCTCTGTGGAAAAATATTTTACCTTGACTTGCCTTCTATCACCATATGTGAAAAACTACAAAAAGACATAAAGGATCTTGGTGGGGTAAGTGAAAACCGCGCACTCCCAAAAAGTAAAAAAAAAAAAAAAAAATTATCCTAGCACTTTAAAGAATTTCATTTTTGGAGTATTATAGCTATTTAATCAATAGCAGCCTAAAACTATGAATTGTTTATTAGTGAATAATTTAGGAACTGGGAGTATAGCCCAGTGGTTTAGCACCTACTGCACATGTGCAAGATTTTCTGTGCTCAAGTCCCAACACCAAAGGACAAAGAAAATATTTTTTAGACTTTTGGAACCTGACAAAATGTTCATATTTCTGTGATAACTGGTTGAGTATGAAGGAAAAAGAGGGTTTGGTCCTGGTGACCTGCCTTCCAAATATATCTATGACTTTTGTAATATTGTGTGTGAATGTGTGTGTGTGTGAGAGAGAGAGAGAGAGAGAGAGAGAGAGAACTCCTGCGTCAACAAAAGCCCATCACTGGGGAAGCAGCAGTTTTGGAGTTATAGTTAAACTGTCTTCCCTGTTACATACATTACTTAGATGATCAGAAAACTTAGACAAAAATCTAAAAGATTTCGTAGGTGTAATGTTAATATTACCTAAATACTAGCAGATGAGCTTATTATGATTTTTACTGTTCCAAAAGTTCCTCCTGGCTTGGAATTTTGAGTTTCTGAAAGTTTTCCTGTTTCCAGTCTGTAATTCAAAAGAGTAGTTCACAGATTTCTTAGAATTTTTGTTAATTATTTTGTTAAAATAAAGATATTTTACTTCCCTGCCCTTGAAATTTTTCTACTTTTCTTTGTGGGGGATAAATAGAATTTTACTTTGAATATGAAAAAATTTTCATATTCATTTTTTGAATGAATTTTATTTTTGCTTTCTTGTCAATTACGTTCATATACAAATTGCCGCATAATCAGTTACCCCCCATTACCTTCATTGTCCTTCCACTCTTGCTCTCCAACTCCCCGGAACATCCTACTTTTCTACCATTCATTTTGTTGACTCATTATCACACATTTATGGTAGCGTTTATCATAATGACCCATATGGCTGCACGTATAGAGGTCTTGGTTGATAGACATGCCACCATTGACTGGTCTGTCAAAGGTATGGTGTATGTACTTAGTTCCTTAGGTATGTGTAAACATATCTGTTTTTAAACTTAAGCGCTGTCTGGTAATCTCATTCCCAGAGTAAAGTGGCACACCACCATTCTTTTAACTATTGGTGTCTAATAGTTACTCCATAACTTTCTCAGATATGTTGCCCAGTCTTTACTTTTAGGTCTAAATCACTGATGTTTCGGTTTGTGTTTTTAGCAGTAGATGGCTTCAGACAATGGTATATCCATAAGCCTAGTGTGGGAAACATTTAAAAAAGAAGCTGACCACTGCCCCTTTTTCCCCCATCCTCATAGCACTTCCTAAGCTATGTTCAAGAAACAAATTTTGAATTGCTTCTGCAATAGAATAGTTAAGGAAGGTTTTGTTTTTTTATGTATCAGATTTTACTGTCATGGTTTCAAGTATCTCAGTGTACATAATTAAAAGTGTAAGATTTATACTTCAGGGGCAACAGAGTTACCATGATCACAAAAGTGATTTTCTCAAGGTGAGGCTTCTCCATGGCACTCCAGATGTATCAACTCCAGTGATTTCCTCAAATGACAAAAACTCTGCTGCAGATTTGTGCTGTTGGAGATCACAGCTGTACTCTCCCCTAGGGTAAAAAGTACTGGGTCAGTCAGGTAGCTTGAAGGACGGGTGTTTGCTGCCTAACCTAATAACCCAAGTGTGATCTTTGGGACCCATATGGTAAAAAGAGAGAGCCAACTTCCACACTTCACTAACTTTCTTATTGGGAAGAAGTACTTACTTGTGATCTTTAGCATTTCTTTCCTGTAATTCAGTGATCTTGATTCAATTCCTAGATCCAAACTAATTTTGTCAAATAAAAGGTTATGTTTTTCCTCAATTTTTAGTTTAATATAACCCTTCTGTCCTTTTTATTACTTTTGCTTTAGATCACCCCGAAAGTGTCACTGTTTAATTGACGAGTTCTGTTTTTTTCTAGTCTTAATAAAAAAACATGTTAATATCAATATTGATTTGCACAGAACTGTATAGCAGTCAATTTTCACACATAGCAAACTTTGTTTTATAGTGTTAAGAAAAGTAGCTAAGTCAAAGCCACGTAAGGACATAGAGCCAGGTTTGTTAGTGAGACCAATTTAAAGAAAAAGAACAAATGATAGGCCTATTTCTAAACAGTTTAGACTAGAATAAAACATTTGGAGAAAGGTAAGTATAAGGGTAGTTGGATTCATGAATCTGGGAGAGCGGGACCTATAAATGAAGTGAACTGAAGTTTCATGAAGTAGCCAACTTTATTCAGAGCACCAGGCAATTTATACTCTGAAGATTAAGTGAAAGTGACTATTATTGGCTCAGGACACCCCAAGACCAACTTCTCAGCACAAAAATTTATTTGCCCCAGAGGGACAAAGGGCAGGGAATTAGAGGCAAGGACAAGATATGGAGGACAGAGGGGAAGGGGTATCTGTGGGGACAGAGGGAATGATAAAGGACACCTCTGGATAGAGGAGAAAGACGTGGCCATAGGAAAATAGAAGTACACGGGGAAACCCTGTGTTAGGATGGGCATATTAATTAGGGACTTAAGTACTTGGATAGCTGGGCCTTGGTAGTAAGCCTTAGGAAGAAGAAGTAGCCAAATGGAAATAGACCTTGATGGCTAGCTTTAGGAATGTAATATAATGGTTTAGCAAAGCAGAGGGAATACAGAAGAAGGGCAAAGCCTGCCAGAGTCATGTTTACCATGCTTGGACTGGCCAGAGTTCCTTCATTAATAAGAATCACAAGGACACGCCAAACATGACAAAAACAAAAACAATGTACCAGCCTCAGTACCCCCTCACGACTCAGAATAGGATGTCTATGGCAGGCAAGGATCTGAGGGTTTAAAAAAAAAATTAACTCAAGTACATTACCTCTGCATGTTCTTTATTTTGTGTGGGGGGGGGGGGGCGGGAAGTGAAGTCAAGGGGCATGGAGCAGAAGAGGTAGCTAGGAGAAGAAGAAGAAGGGCTACTCTCCACGAGATTTTTGTTTTTTACAGACATAGTTAGAAAATTCTATAGGCGAAGACAATGATAATATGCATATCAAAATCAAATAAAGGGCAGGTAGAAACTGACAAAGCAGTAGTTCTCCAGTATAGGTGATGCTACCCAGGAAAGAGCCAGCATTCAAGGGGAAATATCTGACATCTTAAATCATTAGATAAATTTACTAAGCATCCCTGAATCCTGAATTCACTCATTCTCCTCATCTCATCTCTCTTGTGATAATCAGCTTTGGGGATACCCAGACTTGTTTGTTAGCGAAGGTGGAACATGCCGCCTTCCTGCTCAGTGCTTGTCTTCTATAGACATTTCTCTGTGGTCTGTTAGGTAATTTTGAGGGATTGACTATGTAAATTTGACTGTTAGAACAAAGACTGAATGTTTTCGCTCAAAGACCTCCTGTTGTCGGGGAATGGAGCAAGGTTATTCCACTGCCCTACAGAGGTTACACTGCTGAGGTGTTCTGGGAATGAATCCCTTTTTGAAGGGAAGAATCATGGCTTCGCAAGATTTTTGCAGATGTAACAGTGGCTTTCCCAAAAGACAAGTGTTCCCACAGCTCTGTAAAATGGGTACCCCATAAGTTGTACACTTGTGGGTCTGTCTTTATGAATCTGTCAACTGTACATTTGCTGTATAGTCTTTGGGTTCCAACATCTCCCCTGCTTTTGTTAAGTAAATACAGCATGTGTGTATCTCGCTGGGCAACGAATAGTATATTTTTTTGCAGACATCAGTAGTTTATTGTTTTAGTCCAAACACATTCAAAATGGAAACTCAAAAAGAAACTTAACACCTGAAACAATTAAACTAGATTCTACCAGCATATAATGTTTAACACATTACAAAATAAAGATGGTAATCCATTGTCTTCTATACTTACTAAAGCCAAGATGGTGAAGCCAATTTGGTGCAGTAGTGTCATAAGGATAGAATATCACCATCAAAGGAAAATAAAGTCAGCAAGTAACAGTAATGGTAGATGAATAATGTTTTAGTCTGTCACTGAAAGGGGGACAAAATGTTGAAAGTCCGTAGTTCTGCAGGTAAAGTCACCATGTAAACTTCTCTGTGTGATGTGTTCGTGTCTCATCTGTGGTATGTAAAGGCTGGATGAAGCTGAATGGCTCTGAGCTCCACTTCTCTCTATTAACCTTAACATCTCTCGTCTCTTATTGGTGTAACATACAACAGGAAGAGGGAAATAAGAACAAAAGAAAAATACACTTTGGGGGGGAAACCACTCACAATAAAGCCACTTATTTCAAAGTATTTTGAATAAAAGCTTCAAAACTCCAAAGTATTTTTTTAGTACAAACTTCAAGTACTATACTTTATAAAGTCAAAAACTGTTTCAAACAAACAAAAAACCTTAGCCTTCTAAAATTAAAACTACAAAAATTTGTGTCTATAAAATATATACAATAGTGTAAGACGTTTCCTCAAACATGGAAGACCTCATTTAAAGGGGAAAGAGACAATAAATTTTACCCATATTGCCCAGCTGACAAAAACAAAATAGTTTAATAGCTAGCAAACAGTCACATAGTTCAGAAACAATTGGCTGCCAGGTCAAGTGTGTGTTTGTTTTCACTAGGATGGGATGCAGAAGTCTTCCATGTTAACCAACGAGCAGCTTTGAGTGGTCACACTTGTTTACTCCGCTTCTTGCTTGAAACATGAGAAATGTGACACACACTTATTCCAACCATAATACTGGATAATCTTTGTCATTCTTGTGGTTTACTGGAACCTGCTATAAAGACAGACAGTAAATGGAGCATTTAGAAACATTGCTCGCAGAATTGTTCAAAAATTCATGTAAAAATAAAAGGCTGTTGTCCCATACTTAAATTTAGGAGCCATTTAGGTGCTGGCATCAGTTTAAGAATTGTACAAAGTGAATGACAATTCTCTGCCCCCCAACTCTTAGGACCTGCCATTCTTTCCTCTGAAAATTGTAGTATCCTCACTTAAGTTTACTTGCCGTTTTGGGGAATCTGACTGCTTTTAAAATGTGACTAAAATGTACATCAAGTTTGACTTTTTCAAGCATTAAGTGATAACAGTTCAAATTTGAGCTAAAAGTCAACAAGATTTACTCAGCTGACTTCCTCTCCCGTCAAACACATGAGACTCTCTCCCACATAGAACATAGAAGATGTTAACTGAAGAAAAGATAAATAAGCATCCATTGTACTGATTTTAAAGATACTATAATTTTTATTCATCAATAATTTTTTTCTACGTTTTGCAGCCAGTTGGCTTTACAGCACAGTGACTGATAACCACACTGCACAGAATCCCAGCGAGACTGAGATGATGTGTTGTAGAAGGCACCATCATGGTTATTACAGTACCAGAAATCAAATACAGGAAACAGTTTTCATTGTCCACAATTTAAAGAAAGAAAAGAGGAGGAAGAGTGTGTTGAGCAGCCAGCCATCCCTTTACTCAAGAGGACAAGTCGTAAACTCTTATGCTACAGAGCTGCTAAATCTGGCCTAGTATTTGAGACCACAGCATTTGAAGTACTCGTTTTGTTATTTCATTTATAACTAAATGTTTTCCTTCTGGAATATTTGCAGTCTTTTTAAGGTTGGTGAATGCACATGCTGGCCACAGCAAGCAGATAAAATGCCCTCATCATTTCACAAACTATTCTCTACTGAAAAAGAAGTTGAAAGATATTTTTCCCTGTTATCTCTTGGTGCAGATGTCAATGTTAATGACTTCAGAATACCCGATAGTGCATTTTGATGAGTACATAACAAGTTACTGTTGGTTGGGGGGGGGGGGAACCAAGAAAAAAAGCAAGATTCTCCAGTTGCACAAATTGCATTAAACAAAATGTGCAGCAGAGAATTTTTTTAAACTCAAATGACCTGAATTTAATAGACATGTCCTTTAAAGTTTATTTTGTTATAGACAGTTTAAGATATTGTTATTTCTCAGTCCTTAATTCTTCAAGTCTAGATTTATGAATTAATAATATGAATTCTGTTGTAAAATTGGGGGAATTATGTCCATTCAAATTTAACTGATAACCAAAAGATGCTTTTCACATCAAAGAAAAGTAATGGCACATTTCAAAAGCCAAAAACTTAAGGATGCAAACACGATGAGATAGGTACCACTACCAAAACTTTGCCAACAGTGGAACTAAAACGAAGTTGTCCTGTGAAACAGCCTTCCATTTGCCCGTTCCTCTCTGGAACTAAGTTTCTGTGCCGTGCCACTTTGTGGAAGTCGTCTTCTTACATCACGGTCGTGCGTCATTTCACCTGAACTCACAATTCCACGTGGACCACCAGGAGGGTCTCAAGCTTTGCACCTGACATCCCTACAGTCGTCACTGCCGCCCCTGGTTTCTTGCTCTCTGGCAGCTCTCAATTTTCTTCTCTTCCACATTTAAGTGTACTTCTCAAAACATAATTGGTTTTGTAATTAAGATTCTCTGAACTGGTTCAGAATCATCAAAAATCCACAAAGCCAAAATTTGGAAGTTTTCCCCTAATACCCTTGGTATTGATGCAAAGTTCTACAACGTTTCCAAAACTCATAAGAAATTCTT